TAATAAAAGATTAACCATAAAAAAATTATAGTTATTACATACTATTAAGTACTATTTTAGTTGAGATATAATAATACCTTTTAGCACGATACACAGAATAACACTATTAGAAGGTACAGTGTGGTTGACTATTTTTGATAAAAGTAGAGAATTTAATTTTCCCATTTTTGGTCTATTCATAAAAACTCCCCATGAACTAAGCCTCTGCTTCCCTAGCAGACATCGTTGAGTCCCAAGACCTGGGACTAAACCACTGTCTACTATTGCGGGAAATTCATCATCTGCCATATTAAATCTCAAACTCACATGAACAAATTAGAATTCAGAAAACATAAAATATTTCGAAAACAAATGAGTAGAAACAATGGAAATCAAACACGAGGAATCAAAACTTGAAGTTGAAATTAATATAAACTTGTTAACAAGCATAATCAAAATATTGTAGTCCCATGGAGAACAAGTTAAAACACATGTCTACACTAGAATGCCTATAGAGAAAGTGAGGACTGTGCTAGAATAGTAGAGGGGGCTACCTGCACAAGTATAGATGGTGCAGTATGATTGGTGGAGGGTAGTCACATGAACAGCACATCTGAAATGACACGAAAAAAGGGGTATAAATAGTTATCTCTATACATGTCGGATATAAGTTAGCAAACTGGATAGAAGAAACAGAGGGTTGTTACAAATGGAGTTCAATCAAACTGGATTAATGTCACAAGTGGGGTACCTCAGGACTCAGTCTTAGGACCTTTGATCTTTTATGATATTAAGGTGTTGCTAGCTGTGAATAGGATGTTGCTGATTTACAAAAGGATTTAGATCATATAGGAAGTTGGGCAAATAAATTATAAATGGGTTTTATTACTAATATATACAATATAAAGCATGTGGACTATCATAATTTGAATTATAATTTGGATGGGAATAACCTTAAAAGTGTCATGAAAGAAAGGGATTTTGGTGTAATAGTCAATCAGTCTCTACAGCCATCCAAGCAGTGTGCTGTTGCTAGTGGTAGGGCAAGTAGGATTTTAGGTTGTATCTACAGAAATATTGAATACAAGTCTAAAAAGGTTTAAATTTCATTATATAGGACACTGGTTAGGTGCCACATTTGGAATATTGTGTTCAATATAGAGTTCCTTACCCTAGGAAATACATCGAATTGTTGGAAAGGGTTCAGAGAAGGGGTTACTAGAATGGTGCCTGGGATGGAAAGGTTGTCATACAAGGAGAGTTTGAAATCTCTTAAATTGTTTTCTCTTAAAAAAAGAATAGTTAGGGGGGATCTGATTGAGATGTTTAAGATTGTAAAGGTAATTGATAGTGTTGATGCATCATCTTTTTTCATATGTGAGAATAGTAGGACTAGGGGACACAAATATAAATTTTGGCAAGGCAGGAGACATCTTCAGCTAAGACATTTTTATTTTTCTAACAGTATGGTTGGACTCTGGAATGGATTGCCTTTGGATGTTGTAGAGTCAGTAAATTTAAGTGAGTTTAAGAAAAAGCTTGATAAGTATATGAATGATAAGGGCTGGCTTTATGATTTTTTTAAAAATTATTTTAATTTAGTTTAGAGGATGGAACAGCCGAGATGGACCAATAGGTCCCATGTTGTCCCAAAATGTTACATTATGTTAAGACTAGCTTTGGGTGAGTGGAGGTAGTACAGTTTTGGAACTATGACCTACTTTATCAGGTTGCTATGGAGTCATGAGTAGCCCCATCACCTACAAATGTGTTTCTTTACCATCAGTTGAGCTATACTTTCTATATTGTAGAAGATACTTTATTGTCTGAACATGTTGAGCATTTTCAAACTGCCTTAACAGTCAACATTCTAATATCAAATTCACTGCTGAATACAAACTTCTTTATTTCCTTTACCTCTTCACAACAATTATGGAATCTTTCAATGTGAAATTTTTGCACAAAAAGAAATTTCCAGGATTATATTTCAACTTTAAAAATTTTATACCATTGTCTTTTACGAGAACCTTGAGCAAAATACTTGAGCATACGAGTTATCCAGTAAGCATGAAGTTTTCCATAAAGATAGAAAATATTAAGAAATTCCAAATAAAAAATCATGTTAACTATGATTATTTAAATAAAAGGATTCTTGCTACTTCCTCCACATATGAAATACAGAAACAAATATTACTTTTTGTTTTACTGTATACTAGAAAGAAGGTGGTAGAGATTAGAAATCAGCTAAGTAGAACCTGTTGGAATTATCTACAAGCAGGACTGACTTGTGTGTGTAAGTCAATGTGTAGTTATCTACGAGAAGGACTGACCTGTGTGTCTAAGTCAATGTTTAGTTATATACAAGCAGAACTGACTTGTGTGTCTACGTCAATGTGTAGTTATCTACGAGCAGAACTGACTTGTGTGTCTAAGTCAATGTTTAGTTATATACGAGCAAAACTGACTTGTGTGTCTAAGTCAATGTGTAGTTATCTACGAGCAAAACTGACTTGTGTGTCTAAGTCAATGTGTAGTTATCTACGAGCATAACTGACTTGTGTGTCTAAGTCAATGTGTAGTTATCTACGAGCATAACTGACTTGTGTGTCTAAGTCAATGTGTAGTTATCTACGAGCATAACTGACTTGTGTGTCTAAGTCAATGTGTAGTTATCTACGAGCAGGACTGACCTGTGCGTCTAAGTCAATGTTTAGTTATACATGAGCAGAACTGACTTGTGTGTCTAGGTCAATGTTTAGTTATATACGAGCAGAACTGACTTGTGTGTCTAAGTCAATGTGTAGTTATCTACAAGCAGAACTGACTTGTGTGTCTAAGTCAACGTGTAGTTATCTACGAGCAGAACTGACCTGTGTGTCTAAGTCAATGTGTAGTTATCTACGAGCAGAACTGACCTGTGTGTCTAAGTCAATGTGTAGTTATCTACGAGCAGAACTGACTTGTGTGTCTAAGTCAATGTGTAGTT